ATAATATAATAATAATAATAATAATAATAATAATAATAATAATAATAATAATAATAATAATAATAATAATAATAATAATAATAATAATAATAATAATAATAATAATAATAATAATAATAATAATAATAATAATAATAATAATAATAATAATAATAATAATAATAGTATTATTATTTTTACTCCTACTTTTATTTCTATTTCTACTCCTACTCCTATTTCTACTTCTATTTCTGTTCCTATTCCTACTCCTACTCCTATCTATTTTATTGACTTTAATAATAATATTATTTTAATTCCACTTTTTTATATTTATTAAGATTATATTAAATCTGTTATCTAAATAAATAGTATTAAATAATCTGAGATTATATATAAAGATATAATGATAAATATATTTATTTTAATATTATTATTTTTATTTAAACTAAAACTAATAATATCAAATATATTAATATTTGATAATAATTATTATTTATTAAATAATAAAAAATCCTGATTTCAATCTTAATTCTTTTTTAATAAAGTCTATTTATATTAATTAACTCTATAGTCTTTTGATATCTTTCAAAACTATCTTAAAAGATAGTTTTTAATCATTCAATATTTATACATTTATAGAAAAATTAAATCGAGCTTTTATTTCTATATACAAGCAATTTTGTATATTTAGTATTCGAATTAATATTCTCTATCGATTCTTTCTCCTTTATTTTCTAAATAAGATTTATATTATTTAGTAAAAATATATTAATTTTAATATTAACCTTCAGATCAATAGATCTATATTGATTAATAAATATTTTAAAGGATTCTTCCCAATACTTTATAAATATATAGAAATCTAATTGAATATTGATAGAATCAAATAAAAGGATTCAGAATAAAATAGAATAAGATTGATTCAATTTTCTTTTTAGAGATTATAAGTATATTTATAATCTTGATATTTTAATTTTAATAATAATAATATAATTAATTATTTAATTTAATTATTATTTAATTACTTGAATGTTTAATAAAGCTATATAGTATAAATATAGATGTAAACCCTAAAGAATGTGAAAAATAATTATAGAGAGTGTTAGCGAGCCTGTTGTTATTTTTAGCCCCAAAGGGCCGAGAAAAAGCTTGTTAACTATAATTAAAATAGTAATGAACTAAAGTTTTATAGTTATAATAATTCTTTTCCTAACATATAAAAGCTTCAAATAATGAAAAGTATCTGGATTTTATATATGCTTATAAAAAATCTATTCTATTTATATTTTTTTTATAAAATCAAATTATACAAGACCTTTTTTTTTTGAAATTAATTTAATCTCCTCTTTCTGATTTAATATTCTAGACAGGTATCGATTATTTTCTATAATAATAAGTATTAAATATAAAGTAATTTCTATAAGCTGGATTAGAAAGAACAATCATATTACTAACTGTATTCAGTATAGGCAATAGTATTTCCCGTAATCCGTATACGAGTTAGTTTAGTAATATATATCAATTCTTTTCGAAATACATCCATATATAATATAGAATTCAATACTACTAAAAGTATTCAATATTATTTACTTATTCAATATTACTAGTAATATACTGAAATACTAAAATTCATTATAAAATATTCATTCCTATTTAAATTAAACTAGAAAAAAGGGATTTCTATTTATATTAAATAATAAAATTCTATTCCTTATTTCAAATTGAATAGGAATCCTTTATTTCTAGTTTAATTAGAATAGGAATATATATATTTTGTATTGTATTCTAATATTTTAGTATATTGCTAATATTCTTTAGGTATATGAATATATATAAGAGTGGTATAACCTTTTTTCTATATGTATTAGTTACAATATCAATATACTAATATACGCTATAGTTTCACTATAGTATACTATTGCCTATACTAACTATATTTATTGAAGAAGAGATCATAATAGGAATTATAAAATAGACTGAATTAAAGCTTAATCCTAGTAATCTCATTCTTTTAAATTTGTATCAGATGATGTTCTTTCTCGAAGTAATATAATATCAGTAAATATTTTGTATAGAGTATTGTATAATAAGTCGAGTAATTTTAATCTAATCGAAGAATGAATTACTACGATGTAAGCGTTTGTACGGGATATATATATCCCCTAGACCGTTGGTTACGGCCGGGTTCTACTTATAATACCTCATTAGCCAATAAAAGTATTATAATCCAAGAGCTCTAGAAATCGTAGATTGTATTATTTTGAATATGAAATATAATAGGATTTAAAAACTTTTTATTAATTTTTTTTTAGAAACAAAATAAAGAAATCTATAATAAACCTTTTAATTATTACTAATTCATTAAATTCTAATCTTCAATTTCAATCAAATAGTTTTTATATTTGATATAATTTATAGAGTTATTAATGTTCTTATTTGTATACGGGCCATATATGCCGGCCGTAATCAACGGTCTAGGGGATATATCTAATGAGATGTAGATGATAAAAGATTTTCTGTATACTACTTTTTAATTCCAATGACAACGTATTGTATAATATCACTTACTTAATACATTTCTAGACTGGATATCGATCTATTGTTCACAGCTTATATTGATAGCAAACTTAGTAACTGTAAAGAATATATACATAATGACTGAAAAAGTTACTCATGCTCAAGTAAATACTAATAAGAGACCATACCGCTATTTAATCGGTACTATCTACTTTGAAGACATCATAATCAGATATTTACTACTATTTAATGTCAGAGTTATTAACTCGTCATTATTACAGAATTCACAGACTCAGCTGACTTTACAAATTGACAATATTCAACCCCTAATTATATTAGGAAAATCGATTCTAATTTATAAACTAACTAATAACAAGTTGAATTCATCAACAATTTGTATTTGACTCTTCAGCCATGTTCCTCACAAAGAACTTTGCTTAAGAAATGCCAATTGCTGGTCCATGACTTCTTTGATGATTTTCTCTGGCTTGGCCCATTGAAGACCAAGTTCTCTCTCTGCCTTCGAAGTATCGGTTTTTGCCACCTTGGGATTTGTGCTCGGTACGACCTTGTAAGGCACAGCAGAATAATCCTTTTGCAGAACTTCAACAACATCTTTCCAAGTCATTGGCTGTCCGGAGACTAAATAACTTGAGCTAGAATCGAGAGCCGGGTTCAGAGCTTTCACATGCGCATCTGCCACATCTCCGACATACACAGACAGAAGGACACCATCCGATTGTGCACCATTCATAATACTGCCAAACAAGAGACCATTAGTGCTCCCCTGGATCTCCTCAGCCGACTTTTGGACCAAATTATGCCCAAACACCAGAGAGGGGTGAATAGTGATGAGCACGAAGCCGGGACTTTCTTTCTCAAAGAACTCCCAACTTGCTTGATTGGCCAGAAGTTTTGAGGCGTGATATATCTTGAAAGCAGTCAAAAAGTCATTGCCCTCGTTGTAGTCTCGATTAATATCTACTGACAAGTCCAGGGATGTATCCTCTGTAGATAGAATTTAAGTCAGTTGTGGAATTCGATGTAAAGCCTCGAAGAACTAACCTTTCAACACAAGTCCATCTGTAGGGCCTTCGAGCGGCGTCAAAGCAGCGATTGAGGATGTGATGACGACTTTTTTGATGCTTGCGACCTTGGCTGCGTCTCTCATAATGTTCAGAGTTCCTTCTATTGCTGGTCGATATATCTTATCCTTGTCGATAGATTCAGCTAGCGGAGAAGCCAAATGCAAGACATACTCAACATTGTCTAGAACTTTAGAGAATGCGCCAGGTACTGTGATATCTGGAATGACGACAAACTCTAAACTATTTGTATGATCGGAGAAGATGTTCTTGAGGCTTTCGATTTGTGACTCCTTGCGAACAGAGATGCGGAGACGGTAACCGGCTTTGAGTGCAGCTAAAGCAGTTGAAGCTCCAATAAAGCCAGTTGCTCCAGTGATAAAAACTAGACTAGAAGACATGGCGGTAATTTTAAAGTGAGCGGGGGGTGATTTAGGATTCGAAAGTGAGCGAAGATGTGTGGTTTATGGATGTGAATGATGTAAATGATAATTTGAAAGCGGCTGCTTCCTTAAATACAAAAATCATTGAAATGCCCGTCAAAGTGGCTACCACAACGGAGAATGTCCGAAGAAGAGATTCCATTCATTTTGCCCCGAAATCATTATCAATCAATCTCAGATATGACCCTAAGGTAAACTTTTATTTGTAAGGAGTTTTCGTTAAGCTCCGCTTAACGTATTTTCCGGATGAAATCTTAGGCCATGTCCGAACCCTGCTCCTTAGTTACACTTCGCTTAACTGTTCGAGTGTGCCCCGTATCCTCGAAACATGCACAGACGAGAAATTAAAAACGTTTCGGGCATTTTAAAATTCATTTACTTACCTAGGCTAGGTACTTGATTTTATGCACGAATCACATGATCTGAACTACCCTGTTCTCCTTTCGACTAGTCAACGTCGACGCCTTGTATTAAGACCTTTTGTTTATATCGAGCCGTAGGATTATTAATCACCCAGCCTGGAAATCACTCATCATAGAAGCAATGAAACTTTTCCGTCGGGTGTCCTTCAAGTTGCGTGGTCTCAGGGCCACTGCCTCTAAGTTCATCATAAATCCTGTCCTTGCCGTCCTGGTACTTTCCACAGATTGTGCCTGAGAACCACTTGATCTTTGTGATGTCGTTATTAACAACCGCCGGACATTTGATCCTCCCGAAAATTGATTGCTAATCGGTAACGATCATGGAGGCTTGGCGCGCTAAGATAATCAACTTCTTGATTAGTGAACATTAAAGTACCTAGGCACTTTCAACAAATGCGGGCAATCCTGCTCTCAAAATCTACTTTCGCGTCCACTTAAAGGTTTCGACTCACCTTCATATTCATAACCTAAACTCCGCTTCCTTTCCGCCATCCTCTTCCAACAACATTCTTCCTCAAGGTCGTTTCAAAATAAGTAAAATCAAACAACACACAATGCTGTCAGATGATGATTCCAGACATCTTCTGTATGTTTGCGCAGGCCTCAGTACGTTCACAGCCTACAAGCACACATCTCTAGGCTTCAGTGATCTTTTCCCCAAAATCGATCGGGGAATCGGCTCTTCAGAGCCTCTGACGGCCTTCTCCGCAAAAAGCAATTTCCTGCAGGTTGGCGCTTCTTGGGCTCTCATTGGTATGTTAATCTTTACCCACCCCACTTCAATTCAAGATTTGCTTCAGAGAGCTGCCCAAATTTTACACAAGGATTTGTATATGAACAAGGGAATTCACTCAAAGGAATTCACTTTAAAGAGAATGACTTCTATACAATAGCAACTGTATTAAAGGTATTTAAACAAAAGTAAAGGAGATTTGCTTTTTCAATAATACTTATATAAAACCTACTATTCCCTTCATTTAGCTAGCTTCTTAAATTGAATATAAATAGATATTTAGGGGCTTATATATAGTGGGAATTATGTCTTCTGTATCTCTCTCAAATCAATATTAATTAATGATATTACAAATTATTTATTTATTCGAAAATACCTTTTTACTTTTATTTCTTTTATTTCCCATTATTAGTATTATAATATCCCGGACAAATACTAACATTAGCTTTAAGCAAACCAGCAAGAAGTCTGATTCTGATAAGAAATCCAATACAGGTAAGAAATCGGTTTTATTTGATCAATCTATTAGTATAAAAAAATATATTAATATAACAATTAACAATATTAATTCTCTATAAATAGATTTCAATATTTCTTTTTACAAAGATCTAGATATGATTAATATTTCTTTTTATTTTCAATCTATTATTTTTTTAATTCTTATATTTCTTTTGATAAAGAAATTGAAGAAAGAAAAACTCAGAAAATTATAAAGAAATTAGAATTCAAAAGAGAATTTCAGAATTATTCTTTTTCAAAAGATTTTAATAAAGCCAGGTAGTTCTATAAAAAATATATATTTAGATTAAAAACAAAGTATCAGATTGATAGGTACTTTCTTTTTAGAATTGCTATATACTCGAAAATAGGGGTTATCGATATATCTTTTCAGAATATAATTACATCCGATTTCGAATGTATTTGTAAAAGTATATTAAGGAATATTAATAAACTGATATTATATAATTTTTGTATAATTTTATAACATTATAGAATTTATATTAATATCAATATAAATATTGAGAATACTTTTATAGAAATGTTTGATTATAATAAATATCATAATTAGATTATAAATCAATTTTTGGAATATCAGTTTAATAAAATATAACTATTTATATTAATAAAATAAACTTATCTTTCTATCGAATTTGATTTGAAACTATAAATCGAATCTTTTGAATTTCAGAATGATAATATAACTGATTAATTAATTTTACTAAAATCTAATAAAATTATAAGTAATATAATAAAAGAATTAGTTTTATTTCAATCTTTATTCTAATTTGGGGATATACGAAATATATCTTTATTAGATTCTAGGGTTTCATTAATTAATACTCCTATAGAATTATCTAATAATAATAACGGTTCAAATAATAATAATGGGAATAGTAATCAAAGTAATAATAATAATAAAGGTAATAAAAGTAGTAGCAGAGGTGATAATAGAGGCGATAGCAAAAATAATGGAAATAGGGATTATTTTGATTATTCTAATTACTAGGAAGATAATCAATGTAATCAAAGTTATTATTTTATTAATCTCTTTAAGATCTATAGAAATGATAATAGATATAAGAATATTAATAATTCTTTTTAGTTGAAGATCTTTATATTTATAGAGTATTATTATAGAATATTTATATCAATCGAAATAATTCTGATAGTCTTTTTAATTATATTCTTAAATATAGTTAGAGACTTTTATTAAATTAATCTTAATATTCTTTTTGAGATATATAAGAATATATATGAGATAATAATCAATAATTTTAAAGAATTTGAATATCAATAAAATATACTTTTTAAATAAAACAAAATTGTTTTTAAGGATTATATTGAGAAGAATTCAATTAAGGAATTTTAGAAAGTGTTTAATATAATAATTATAGATTTATACTTTATTCAATATACTATTTCTAGGAATATATATAATTCCTAATTATTTTATATTAGGATTTTATCTATATATAATAATATTCTGGAATATTATTCTATAATATATAATTCTTATTTAATTGTTATAAAGCTTATTAATCAAATTAAGTAAATTATCGATTCTTATTAAAAAGCATTTTCAAAATAGAATATATTATTTGAAATATTTCTTATAAATCAACAAAATATATTGTTTAAAATATTCCTTATAAATCAATATTTCTATAATAATAGATCTTTAAATTCCTCCTTTCAAAAACCTTATAATAAATATATTGAACAATAATCTTTTTTATATTAATTAATAAGAATAAAAACAATTATTATTTCCCTAATTACAAAAAAAAGGATTATAGATATTATAAGTATATATAAAAAAAAGATTGATTTAAAATAAATTATTATATTAAATATAATAATCTCAATAATAAGAGTTTTATAAAGTAATATAAGTAATTTATTATTAATATTAAATAAAAAAATAATTAAAATAATTAAAATAATAATAATAATAATAATGATCATTTTGTTAATCAATATCTTATTAATACAAATAATTCTAAAAGAATTTCCAAAATATTCTTTATCTTTATAGATACTTATAATAATTCTTTAATAATAATTAATCTCAATAATACTATAAGCATTGATAAATTAATAATTAAAACATTTACTATAAATAACAAATAATATAATATTAATATATTCTTTAATATTATAATCAATACAAATATAACTAAAAGATTATTTATTAGATATAATTAGTATTTGATATAAAAAACGATTAAGGATATTGAATATAATATAATTATTATTAAATAAATAATAATCTAGTATAATATTGAAATAACAATTTCTATTAATTCGTTTTATATTAATCTTTTGTTTAAAAAAATAAAATAAAATATAATAAAAGTCAATCTTTTATTCTTATTCTTTTTGATTAATATAAATAAATTTAGATTTAAGTATAATAATCTTAATAATATTACTATTATATTTAAAAATACTTATTCTATATATTAATAATTTGATTATATATTTTTACTATGGAACATTAATATCAAAAAATTGATTAATTATTCCGTTGGTAGTAATAATTATTATTTTATTGAAATTGAATTGTAATAAATTTATTATTAGTTTAACTATCTATTTGCATATAAATTCTATAAAATATTTAAATATTTTGGGTACAATAAGGACTTTGAGATAATTAAATGGTTTATTAAATTTTATTATTATTATCAAGTTTATAATAAATTATCTAATAAATTCAAATTCTTTTTATTTAATAAAAATTTTGAATTTAATTATACTATACTTATCAATATACTTTATATCAATAATAATCCAATTTTGTATATTATTAATAAAACTATATATTTTCAAGCCACTCGATAATTAAATAATATATCTGCAAAGCATATATAGAATAAACTCTATAAATACTAGATTGATACATATATTAATCTATTAGAATATATTATTCATAATATTGATATCAATTTCATTAAAAAAAAGTTTTAATAATATATTATATCAATATCTATTTAGATAAAGATAATCCCCATAAAGATATATTATTCAATCAATATTATTAAAAGATTTTATATATTATTGTATAGATTTTATAAAATTATTTATAAAGAAGTTTATAAATTTGATATTTATAAAATAATTATACTTCAGATGACTATAAAAACAGTTAATAATATTGCTGAACCTAATAATTTAATATTTATCTTACTTGTTTTTAGGACATTTCCCTGTATAATCGATATTAACTCTTTGATATCTATTATTCAACAGTATACTACCACAATCTCTAAAATTATAATAAAGATTTATAAATTATATAGTTCTATATAAGTACCAAAAACCTTAAATATATATAATAAACTCTCTATAACTATATTTTATAATTTATTATTGAATAATAAGATTTTAATCTGGAGGGAAGATAATAGAATAGCTATCAGTAAATGGAAAGGATCTTTTTCATTTATTAATATAAAAGGGGAGATATATACTCTTGATTTATTTTATAAATCTATGAGATTTAGATCTATATTAATAAAGCTATATTATAAGTAATTAAAGACTAAATGTATTAAGAAAATTGAAGAAATTAATTATAATATTGATTTCGAAATAGTTTTGCTAAAATCCGGTAAAATCATATTATTTTCTTTAAAAATAATAGTTATGTGTATAATGAATTTAGAGAAATCTCTTTTGGATTTATTTAAGAATGATTAGATTTCTACTCCAATATCTTTCTTATAAATAATTATATTTTAAATTTGAGCTTATATACAGAATTACCACCCCAAATGTTTTACTGTTAATCCCAAGGATTTTATTATATATAAAGAGTTTAAAAAGAAAGAAATTGATAGATTAATAGCTAAGGGTATATTCGAGGTTATATTACTTTTGGATATTCCTTTTGGTATATATATTTTCAAATCGTGATTTATCAATGAGATTAAGAATAAGGGAATGGATACTGAATTCTATAAGTCAAGACTAGTCATTTAAATATATAATAATACTAATAAAATATTTATATTAATATAATCCCTAATAATTCAATGATTGTATTAATGTATTTTAGTTTTATTAGTTACAAGTACTCGAAAAACAGGTATAGGAGTGTATATTCGAAATATTATTCAGGCATATATTAAATCTACTTTGAATTTGTATTGTACTTTTTATACCTATACTCCAAAAGAAATGAATTTATTAATTAATATAATTTTATTAATTATTAAATTATTATATAATATTCCTGAGGTAGGAAATCATTAGTTCTAGATATACTATATCTATTATTACAAAAAGCTTAAGATATAGTAATTTATATAACTCTTATTATAAAAGAGTAGAAGGTGGTAGGGTTATAAAATAGTCCTTTATAAATACTATAAATAAGTCATTGAAACATAATGCTTCTAACAAAGAAAAGGAGAAGTAGATATTATATAGCACATTATAAAGTATACAAGAAAATAAATAAGAATTGATTGCTTTTCTTTAAACTATATAAAGAAAACCTATAAATATTAATTATAGAAAAAGATTATATAATCAATATTAAGTTTTATTTATATTCCTTTTTATATAAAAAGATTGATTATTTCAATCAAATCAAAAGAAAAAAAAAGCATATTCTAAAGGAAAGAGAAATAAGAAAAACGAAATAAGAAAAAATATAAATACCAATATTTCTAAATATAGCGATTTATTTATCTACTTTTGATATTATTTAATATAATTTTATCAAATTTTAGTAAAATTATAATAAATCAATAATTCAATAGCTCAAATCCGTTTTTAAAGTCTATTACCAAATCCAATTATTCCGTTGATTTAAAATCTCAATATTCTTATTGATTTTATGTCACTTAGGAGTCCTTTTTTATATTCTAGATTTTAATTCTTTATTTGTTTTTGGAATCTTATTATACCTAAACTTTTTGCATCTTGAAATATTTAAGAATTTGGTTTTGTTTTAGTCTAAAT